CTCCCTCCTCTGCTTGCTTGCACTCCATATCCTGCTGGGGTCGCAGGCCTGAGTCCCAGGCAGGAGGGCTGCCTTGATGCCCCTCCCAATACTACACCCCATATGATGGATGGATCCTTCTAGGGAGAGTGTCTTTTGGGAACACTGAGCACCAGTGGTACCCAACTGTCTCAGGCAGAGGAGGAATCCGGGGAGCTAACAAGAGCTCTTGGAACTTCCTGTCCTCAAGCTGATCTGTCTGAGACCTCGCTTTACTGATAGAGAGATACCGGCCCATTTTTGCTGCTTCACATCCATGGTTTCCTAGGATGCAACCTTCCTGTTTTTCTGGGCAGTGAATCCAGCTTTTTATAAAGGTCAGTGTTCCAAGCTGAAAAATAAAAATAAAAACCACAGGCCAGAGGGCTTGAAGCTGAGAGCAAAAGCATTTCTCTTGAGGGACAGTTAGAGGCTGTGCACGTTGCGGGTTGTGTGTCCCTCCTGGGAGAGCTGAACTTGGCGGCACAGCACTGGCCCTGGGCCCTGTGACCTCCAAGGACAGAGGTGAGGTCAGCAGAGTTGAGAGGCAGAGCCCTGCTGTTCAGTCCCCCAGAGAGCACCTGTGTGAATTATACCCCAACTTTTTGCTCTAATCGTTTACTTAGAGCATTTAAAAACTACAACCAGCCAGGCATGATGGTGCATGCCCATAATCCCAATGGCTCAGGAGGCTGAGGCAGGAGCATCAGGAGTTCAAATCCAGCCTGAGCAACAGCAAGGTGTCAAGCAACTCGATGAGGCCCTGTCTCTAAATAAAATCCAAAATAGAGCTGAGGATATGGTTCAGTGGCTGAGTGCCCCTGAGTTCAATCCCTAATACCAAACAACAACAGCAAACACACACACACACACACACACACACACACACACACAAAACCACAGGAGACTATGCAGGAAGCCATTAGGTGATGGAGTCCGAAGGTGCCAGGGAGTTCATGACAACCATCATGCTGCCTTTAAATGAAATATTCTGATCTGATTTTAGGCAGGTGTTCAATCCCACAATGGTATTTTGTTGAGGTCTATAAGTGTGGAAGTTGCAAACCTTCTCTGTATCCCAGTGTTGGGAAACCCTGTGCCAGTCTAGAAAGACTATATATAGTCTGCATTTGAGCTGTTCTGGGGGGCAGCCAGCCTTTCCAAACAGGGGCCAATTGGCATCTGGGTACAATTTAACTTCCACCCCATTTCCCCCCTCTCGGTGCTCAGACCCAGGCTCCCCTCTGTGTTCCCCTCTCTGCAGATAGTTACCGCCCTGGCTGCTTTTCTCACATCAGTCTTCTGGTCCTCACCCATTCTTTCCTCCTTTCCTGCCTCCAGTAGGAGATCCACTGCGGGGCGGGGCAGGGCAGGGTGGGTTCTGTGATGGATGGTTGCTGGCCTAGGCACCTCTCAGCAGCCTTGCAGAGAGGCTAGTCTATCTTCTTTCCTCATCAAGCTCTGTTTTCTAGAAAGCATTAACGAGCTGTGGTTTTTGATGACTATCCCCAGAAATCAAAAGTCATTCAGTCTAATGAAAGAAACATCAGAACCAGTGGGCATTTACACCCTCCCCCCCACTGCACTAGCATTCATCGCATCATTCAATGGCAAGTTTGTCAAATTTAAGTAGTTGACTCTAGAATCTTGGCAAACAGAAGGATCCATGAGCGAAGCTCTTAGGAGCCAAGGAAAATCCCAGGATGGCTGGAAAAGCCCTTGCTCCAATGCAGGTCCTGCCAGAGCTGACTCTCTGCCTGAAAGGCGATGCAAACCAGAACCTCTCCTGTGATCTTCTGGACTGTGTGTCCGTTCACCTTTGACCTGTTCCAGGTTGTCCGGACGAGGTGCACATGGTCCCTGGTCACAAACATAAATTATGCGTCTTTCCATTTGTTCACTGAGGTTCCAGCATGAGCAAAACACCCACTTCCTGTGGAGCTGGCTCTGTCCCTGTGGACCCTGCTTCTTATCTACTTGGGGATGGAGCAGGAAATTCATTGAGCATATATTATGTTCCACACTGGTGAGCACTTCCCCAGGGCCTCCTGGGGCTTTTGAGGACGACCAGGATTCCTGACTTTGCCCTGGCTCTGAGTCTCTGCTCCCCACCAAGCGGCTCATAGCCAGAGTTCAGAACTGCATCTGCCTTTCTTTGGAGGAAGGATGCGTTTGGGACTCGACAAATGTTCTCCGTAAAGTGTCAGGTAATGACTGTTTCAGGCCGTGCAGTGTCTGCTGTAATGTGCCAACTCTCCTGCAGCAGCTCAAAAGCACCAACAGACATAGTGACAGATGAGCATGCAGCGTTTCAATAAAACTTTATTTACAAAAGACCAGATTTGTCATGGACCAGTCTGCCAACCTGGTGTAGCCCATGAACCCTGGAATTCAATCCTAGTTTTGCCCATAATTAACTACATAATCTCTCTGTGCCTTAGTCTCGTTACCAGGATGGTGATAATAGCAGTATTTTCTTAATAGAGTTGTTTTAAAGATTAAATCAAATAGTTAGTAGAAAAATCCCAAAAGGATACTTCTATACAAATGTTGGCCCTTCCAGTAATCAAGATCATTGTCAATATATTTCATTGCAGAAACTGGCTAATTTTAGTTTCTTCTTCTTTTTTTTTAACTTCTGAAGTTTCCCTGAAAAAATGATAAATTTTCATGTTGAAATCATGTTCTATTTAAATA